TTTAACATTGAATATCTAAGTACATATTATAATTCGTATATACTATATAAAAGCTTGATATGTTTACATTACGAATTAGTCGCAGGAGTACATTTAGATTTTACAACAGATTAAAGACAACTTCTACATATAAACACCCATTTTTATATATCTTTTCGAAGTTTTACACTTCTTTTTTCTTTACAAACAGTGATTACTCGAGCTAGGAACACCGATACCTACGCAACTTTTCAATTCAACCCACTGTGCAGGTGCTACACGCGTGTTATATTATTTTAAATATTATATACGGTATAAAAATGGCTACCACTCGCATGATTAATTAAATAATTATGGTTACCATAGCAACATATTCAAAACATGTGTTCATCGACAAATATTAACTGCCGGGCTCTGAAACTTGGTTAAACTATTCCTTAGTAACGAATTTATTTTAAATATAATTGCTAAGGAATGCCCATTGGAAGAAATGGCTCTGAGAACAGCGGTAATTATATTAGTTCATTTGTTAAAATATTAGGTGTTGTTTCAAATATTTTGTTGGTGTCCATTTCTATACCGCATCGTGTAATACAAAACTGCCTACCCTCTAGTCCTTCTACAATATAGCTACATTCCTTGCACTACACGATCCACATCTAAATACATACAGATATCTAGGTACAAACATACTAAGATCCCACCAATACAGTATTATTTTATGGTACAATAAATTGTATATAATTGTACCCCACCGTTATATAGTGCCCCCACATAATCTAATGTACCTACGTATTTATTAAAATACTTTCAATTGTTCAAATCGCATCACTTTCATGACAAAATATACACAATTTTATTTTTCACATGTAAGTGTACCGGTCCACTAAAATTTGGACTCTGCGCACAGTTTATATATAGCCATTTGCTTCTTTAATTTCGTTATGAAATGTTAAAACTATGTTGATAGTAATTGATAACGAAAAAGTGGGAGCACCTAGAGAATATATCTATAAGAATTATTCATAAATTATGTATATTGAGTAGGTATATATTGTATTACAACAGGGTATAAGCTTGGCGTGGTTCTCTATTCTAAAGGTAACATCGATATAAGACAACAATAATATCTATAGAATTGTATAAGTTCTTATAAGTATAATAAGTATACGCTGCTGGTGCGACATTAATATATCTACGTATCTATTTTTATATATAAACATGTCTTATTATTTGATATGTAATTATAACTAAGTACTTTTTATAATTGTATTCACACCATCATCCAACCATCACAAATCTAACATCAATTTGTTTAATGCCTATTAAAATGAAATTTATCATTTAATATTATAATTTTAAACAAATAACAAATTGTAATAATTGTATTCAACTGTTATAATTAAAATTAATAAAAATAATTCGTTGATTTTAATTAATATGTGCTCGCAATAAATAAACGACTATATAAAAATGAAAGGATTTATAACACTTTATATAAATTATGTATATTATAATCACAACAAATAATATAATTATTTACTTATTATAATAACAATTTCAACTACTAATAAGTAAATTCTCCATCTCACAATTAATTCACACGCATCTTTAATTTGTGCTAAGCGGCACGCTTATTAGCGATATATTCTTATAAATACTGATATTTTAATTTATTTATAATATATAACCTCTATATAAATAAACGATAAACACATCTATATTCTTAAAAAGGGACATAATAGTTTCATAAAATCACAAAATATTTTTTCAAACTATAATTATAACTTTCAATATAATTCATATATTTTAGATATATATTATTAAATAATTAAAAACTCCTAATATGTAAACAATTTTAAATACAACAATACTGATAAATTGACGCTTAGTAAATCCTTATTTTAATATTATAATTGATATGTTTAATTTCTTATGACTAGGTATACTTACATCTAACTCTTTGATATGTTTTTGATATTCTTGGCCATGTCGAACATGAGAGTCGACAACGACGATATGTATAAGTTCAATCTTATTATTATTTAATAGCCTAATGTTACAGCTAAACATTTAGAGAAGTTAATTTAAAAAAAATTGTGTAACACTAAATTTTACAAAAAAAATAAGCTTTTAAAAGTAAAAGCTGAATAAAATTTTACATATTTTTCCCAAATTTGCAATAATATAATAATAAATAATTAGCTAATTTTTTATTTAAATATATTACAAATCTAAATATTATGTTATCACCACAGCATTGACATTTAGTATCTTATATTTAAAAAGAAATTGCCCCCAAGTAGCGGCATAACAACACATACAGACAATTATTTTATATATTATATCATAAATTGACTTTAATCAATAACATTGACTTTTATATAAAAAGCCCTTTTAGTTCACAAGTTAATTTTATTATAAGATCACAAAATTAATAAACATTTCAAATAGTAATTTATAAACTTTTCCAACCCTCGGTTTAATATTTTATTGTTGGTATACCAACACTTTATATTTTTTCCCAAATAAATTATTTGATCGAACCTCTTTCTTTTAAGCATTGCTTTAAAATTTTAATTAGTGGCCGTGCCAATTTACATATATTTGATTTTCTGGGAACAATTTTAGTATAATTACACAACAAAAATTAGGTAATAAATTACGACATCGAATGCTAATTTCATATTTTTACATAATTTGATTATTAAATAACTGTGCTTCGTTATATAAATCTATACTACACAATTACTGCATTTTAAATTATCTACAAAATTATTTGGCTATAAAATACTTCTTGAATAACACCAATAGGAATTTTAAAAACTTGTTACTACCACTCAAATGAATAAATTATAATTCATTGTGTGTGTTGTTATTAGATATATATAAATTTATATACATTCTTGTTGCTGACGTTCAAAAGTACCTTTCTGGTCTAATTTAAATTAATGATTTTGACTTTGACTAGATTTAGAAGATACGATATACATCTCAACTTGCTTCTGGCCATTTCAAAAGAGTCTGTTGATGTAAGAAGTAACATATTTTACTTATATTTATACTAGGTAATGATATACCTACAGTTTTCCAATAACACCTGATACTCTTTAGAAATGGCATTAAGATATTATATATCATATTTTATGATATTTTTAATCAGATATACAGTATGTTGATCATACATAATGTGTAGGTCTCATCATCTTTTTCACAAATCGTTGAGTTGTAATATATAACAAGTGTTGTCTCATTTTATTATAAAGTTAACAAATAATAGAATATATATATTATATTATTATAATATAAGAAGGTAAAGGCAATAACAAGTCGTTAGCTAACTCTTTCTATATAAGAACATACTGTGATTGTTTTTTGACTTCGTAGCTACGTCGTAGTAATTTCGTAGTAGTTTGCTACGGCTACGGAACCTCGTAGAATATATAGGTATACTTGTATCATTATGTGATGTCATTTAGCGCATAAGTATATATACTTGCCTTTTTAATAGCTTTGGTGCATTTACAGAAGCAAGTACTTGAAACAATCGAAGTAAGTTCTTATATCAGTCTGCCAAATACTATAAAATCTACAAGTTAAAATATAATAGAGATAGATTAACAACAAATGTATAAATATAAAGGGTAAAAGCTCTAAAGTTTCAACTTATACTTCTATATAAATTCATTGGCTATATTTTGATATGTGAGATGTAGGACAGTTTATATATATCTATGTTGGCTCTAGCACAAGCTTCGTGCAAACCTACGCAATGCACATTACGATACATTACTATAACTTTAATATTAATTTGACTCACATTCATATTCTTTGAAAAACACTATACAGAAGTAATTTTATAACTTATACCTAACTTCTGGCATTTTTTTTTCTTATACTATAGTTATTTGAACGGTTTCCATTTATCAATTTTTACACATTCCTCAAGATACCAAGTTTATATAGAGTATGTTACATAATTTTTATATAATATAAGTAATAACAATGAATAAATTAAGTACGTTTGTGAATAAACTCCTAATGATGCATAAGACTTCAGAACGGCAATAATTTGATTAAACTATAGCAATTATTACTAAAATTATTATTTATAATAATAATGCGAATCTCCAATACGCAGTAGAAGAAATAATGATAAATCTGAATTGTAACAATTCAATAATGATTTTAAATACATTTCAAATGTAAATTTATCATAATTATAGATTTTATAAATAAAAAAAAAATGTTTGTGCACTTTTACAATTAACATTATTAATCAATATATAACTTATACATTTAATTCTATACTCATATATAATGCGTATTATATATGAGTATAGAATCATTAATTGAAGCACATTGTGCGTAATACTTTATGCATTAAACGTAATTTAATAAATTAATAATCACAGTGTTTATTTTTTATATATTTATAATATAATCAGTGTATAACTTATAAGTTTATAACAAGATTATAACATTTTATCTTAACTACCAATGACGATAAAAATCTCCAAGATTTTCTTAATCATAACATCCTAAAAGTCCTCTCATGATATGTTTTATTAATTTATAAAGTATTATTATAATTATATAATATTAAAATAATAACAATGTAATTATTTTATAATTTGTAAATAATTGCAATAAATCAACGAGAGATATAATATTTAAGAAGATTTTAAAAATCAGTTCGTGTTAGCTTATAAGTTTTAGCAAAGTATAATTGATTTTTAATCGTGCTTTATAATTGTATATATATTTTATCCCGACTTACATATTATATAGAACAGCCAGTTACGCGTGGGAGGGGTTTACAACACTTAGTATTTAAACATCGAATCTCTATATGTACTCGTATATGTTAACACTTTGGACTACACAGATACCGGTCCTTTCTAGCGCTAATATACTCTTCCTATAATCAAGCCTAATCGTGATATTCCATCATAAATTATGAACAAACCTGTGCTGGTGCCAATTCTCTACTTGTAAACGTTCCTTATTAAGGATTTTCTTTAATTCTCCCCCTTCCGAGCTTGGAACATGAGCTTCATGGAGTCAAGGGCCTCCTCCAAGGATTGCCTGAATGCTTCTGTGTTGGTGACGCTGGAGGAGGTGAACGAGGATATGCAGAAGATGATGCTGTCCTTCTTCGGGTTGTAGCTGCAGCCGTACCCGTCGGGGCAGACTGCTCCGTAACCCATGAATGTACCGTCTGTCGTTGTAGCCACCTGGGACGTAAGGTACGTTATAACTTTTGTATTATTAATTTATGTCATTGATATAATTGTCGTATGCTAATATTAAAACCTTTGTTATGTTTTTGGTACTCTTTTCCGGTTTGTAAGTGTTTTATAAACAGATACATAGGGAGATGGGGATGTAATTTTAGGTAAAGCTTTGTTGTTTAGGTTAACATAACGAGGTGGTAAGCTTTATGACATTCTGACCATGGTGTCTAGCTCATATAAACGTAAACTCCATGTCCTACAATATTATATTATAACTTTCGTGAGACATACTAAATTAATTATTATTTTTTCGACTTACTTACGTAACTGTTTGATGAGAAACTCGACAAATAGTCTCGTGGCATGCTAGAGCTAGCTAGGCTTAAAAATTGAAGCCGAAAACATAATAATTACCTAATCCTACAAAATTATTAAATCTTCCCAAATGGTGACGAATACGTACGTTTTTATCACTGCAATAACTGAAAGATTTAAAATTACCTGACTAGTGCTAAGCTTGAACTCGATCATCTGTTTATAGGTGGTGTCGCAGAAGACGGGCGGCAGCTCGCCCAGCGACTCTCTTGCAGCCTCCCGCAGCCCCAGCAGGTGGTTGTCTATGCCCTTGCCCAGGATATTGGCCTCCATGATCGATGTCTGCTTGCGAGCTGCTTCTTCAAATAATTCAAGCTTCTTTTGTTCCTGTTGATCAGATGGGTAAGTTTTAGCATGCTGTATTAGTTTTTTTGAGGCGTCTACTGGCTATCAAACTGAATTTTAGGATACGTAAAAGTTTTCAAACATTGGGGTGATTTAGACATAGAACGAATAAACATTTTACTTATTTAACCAGGAGAGAATATGTCCCAGTTTTACTAAACCAGTTAATCCATAGAATGATATGAAAAAAATCTTTTTCATTCTCAACTACATAAATATTTGCAGAAGAATTAACCCATAGTATATATACGTAGATATAGCGAGACACAATGCGTTTTCTATTGTGTCTCATATGCCGGCAGATAAGAGGTCATGTCTTTAAATTAATGATTCAATGATAAGCAGTACTATTTTGATGTATACAAGTCTACTCACCCCATACAAATTAAAAGACACCTTCTTCTGTCCCTCATCACTGCCGTCATTGAGGGGCGGTGTCTCTGCAGTGCACATGGCGGCTGCCCACGCCAGCGCGGCGCCGTGCGCTGACCTGATGTTGTCCACGCGACCGTTGCGGAACCGGCGCAGAGACGCTGACTCGTATGTGGTGACTAGGTAGCCGTACATCCTGGGCGGGGTTGTAGATGTTAACGATAATGATGTTATTTATTGTAATGTGTAATTTATTCTCAACTAGTTTCTGTCCGCGACTTCGTACGCGCAATCCCGATATTTCCTGTTCCCGTTCTTGATTTTCGGTAAACAGTAAAAAAAAAGAATTGGGAGTATCCTATGTCCGTCTCCTGGTTCTAAGCTACCTCCCCACCAATTTTCATCCAAATCGATTTAGCCATTCTTGAGTTATAAATAGTGTAACTAACACGACTTTCTTTTATATATATAGATTCTTTCGTAATATTTTTACACTAGTATTATTATTAGGAAGTATTTGTCATTAGAAGCGTTAGCTAAGCTAAAGCCAGCTTCATTTTTCATTAACAGCTAAACTGACATGGGAGTCAAACGTTTTTTTTATATGAAAAGTGTCGACATTTGGCCACTATCTCGCCTGGTGGTAAGTGGCAGTAATTATCACGCTTCTAAGGCGGGTAAAAGATTGAAGTTTCAAATGGTCGGATTTATCATGAAGCACTACTGTTACCCGGTCTCTGTTAAATGCCGTAGCCATCATCAGTATTTAATCCTACCAAATAACTTCAAAAGTAACGTACTTGTAGTAAGCATACTGCAGCGCGAGCTGGATGTAGACGTCGGGACTGGTGCGGCACGACTTCATGAACTCCCGCCCGTAGCCGCGGTACGTGTACACTTTGTGGTCCAGATCCGAGATGGCACTGTTAAGAAAGAGGGTGCTGTTTGCAAAACAAGTCTTCCATCGCTTCTTTAGTTCCTCATGATCTCGAAAATCTAAATAAGTTTTTTTTTTATAATATGTTTTTTTCTAGTAAATATTGTGATTCTTGAGAAACTACTATTTCTATTACAATTCGTGATAGTTTCAAAAAAGATGCCTAAGCCGAACATTGCAAAGCAGAATAAAATCTTCCGTAAATTCATAGCAAACTCCTCACCGATCAAGATCCCGAGCAGCTGTTTCAATAGTCCTCTGCACATCAGGTGGCACGTTCCACTTCATGGCTTGAGGAGCTGGCAGGAGTGCTGGCGGTGGAGCAGGCCTGTCTGCTACCTCCGCCCTGGCCAGCGCTCGCTCTGCCAGGCGCACCACTGCCACGCCCTCTGCCGCGCTGTGCTCGTAACACATGCCTATTGTGCCATCTGATGATATTATTAGCTGGGCAAAAGGAATACATTAATTAATATGATTACTGTTTGCGTGTGTCAGTACTTGTTTAGAATTTTCCTATATACCTAGGACTGAATAACAAATCAATTTACATTCTTTTAAGATTAAATCATATTGATAGATAGTCATGAAAGAACCTACTTCACATAAAGACTTAATTACGACATAAGTACCTATATGAAAAAAGTAATAATAACAAATGATGGAGAACATTTAATTAGAAACTTGGTAACACTTACAAATAAAGATTAAACTTACTTGTGTGTACTTAACTATTATGTGGCGAGATTTGTAAATTTCCTATAATAACTGCACCTATTGTACGTCAACAAAATCCTTACTAATATCATATCATTGGAAAGTGAGTTTGTTTGTTTGTTCCACTTTCACGCCGTAACTACTAAACCGATTGCTTAGAATTTTTGCAGACATAAAGTTAGAAGTGTGGATTAAATAATAGGGTACTTTTTATTCCGGAAAAAATTGATATTCTCGAGGGAAGAAAAAGTAGGTATTGGTATAGATGGTGTATGTATTAGTATATGTCACATATAGGCTACTTTTTATCCTTCTGTGACGCGAGTGAAGCCGCGGGTAAAAAGCTAGTACAATATAATTTCAAAAGCACCCACCTGCACAGTTTTGTCGAACCACCGGTTGGCGGAGTGGTGTCTGGTGCCAGCTCCGTGCATGGCGCGCAGCATGGCGTTGGTGTCTGCATCAGTGTCTGCCCTGTCTCCTCCACCCTCGTCCAGGCACAGGATGCACAGCGCGCGGGAGATCAGCTCCAAGTTCATGCGGTTCATCTCGTCTGGAGACAAGAACGGAAATAAGTCTTGAGTTGAATTTTTTAACGTGGCAAAGGACTTGTATTTTTCCCTGTGCTGTGAGTCGGTGTCTACGTTCACATCACGACTGACCCAGGTCAACAGTGGTTTTACCTCTTATTAGCTGTTCTCTGGCCTTTGCCCACTGGTCTCTATTCATAGAAGTGAGTAGTCCCACTCGTGGGGCTGGTGGTGCTCCGGCAGCGTCCACCATGGCATGCAGCAGCTGAGCCTGTATCTCACCAGGTGTTAGCCTTCCACGGTCTGCTGCTTTCACCGGGATGGGGTAGAACTGGTGAAAAATAAAAAAGTGATATTTTAGGAATACGGTGTGCGGAATCTACTATATAAAAATAAGTCGGGTTTTCCTTCCTGACGCTATAACTCCAGAACGCACGAACCGATTTCCACGGTTTTGCATTCGTTGGAAAGGTCTCAGGCTCCGTGAGGTTTATAAAATATTAAACAAAAAAAAAAATGTTTCTTCATCCTAAAATCCTTTTAGTGTGACATTGAAATTGTAAATTCTACAAGAACTTGATTAGATATTATGAATGAATGAATGAAAAATAAAAATCTTTCGGAAAAAAGAATCAAGTTTCCTGTTTGTAATCGATTTGTCTGAAAGGTGCACTTTCCCACGTCCGATAAAAGCGTTATCGAGAGAAACAATAGAGGCATACAATGCTGTAGGTAACAGCGTCAGTACCGGGTGGTGGACAATACGCACAGCTGGAAAGAGTCTTGTTTTTATTTCTTTACAAAGACTAGAAGATAATCCCCAATAATAGATTTTATCTTCTACTTCGAAATTGATGAATGACGCACAATTCAATGCGTTGTCTAAGTCAAACCTAATTCAATTTTTTTCAAGTTAAATAGGGATTCTCTTTATTGTTATATATACACATGTTTTTAAAGATATTGCTTAAGGGAACAAAACAGCACTCCAATTATAATGAACTATCAAAATAAATGTCAATAGTCCAACAGACTGCAGCTGGACAATGGTCCCCTATATAAAACTGACTCGAACGGGATCTAAACAAAAACACTTCGAAATAATAACAAACACTTCAAATAAATAATGAACCGAATTTAAAGTCTACAATAAATAATGAACTTAAAACGAAAGTACATTAAAGTTTACTTAGATAGAATAAGTTATTCATACTTGGAGACAAGTCGTAACTAAGTTACGTGCCTAAGTAATAAAGTGCACCGCGGCGGCGCTTACAAGTTATAACTTAGTTACATCTCTGCTGACGACATAATGGAGTTTTGCTCGTTACTACAGATTACCGACCGAACTAGTCTCTTTATATATTTAGTACTTTAGGAAGATATTCTTAATGCTGAAGAAAATGATCATTTTTGCATAGTTCATAGTAAATGATCAGTTTTCACTCGAATCTGGTAAATTCTTTCACTGTACACACTTGATAACGTGTATTAAAAAGAAATGACTTACGTAGTTCCTACAGGCCACCACGATCAGTTCCTCTGACTCCTCGGAGCCCTGCCTGACGGGCGGCAGCTCCAGCCTGTCCTTGCCCACCTCTGGGATGCGACACACGCCCAGCAGTCGATAGAACTGCTCCATGCACAGCGGCTGACCTTTCTCACGGCTGGTGGCTCGCTCCAGAGGAAGTTCACCTCTAGGATAGGGCACAATTGTTAGACTTTAAGTGATACCTAATGATGACCCTTAATCGTTATTCTGGTCGTGGAAAAACTAAGTCGGATTGCTTGAAAAACCAATAATAGCGCAAGTCAAACCCACAATGAACAACAGTCAGTTGCATAGCCACTGCACCAACTGTGTAGTCTTAAAAAAGCTTTTTGCCGCCTTGACGTTATTTAACATTAGAGGTATATCACTTACTTGAGTAATGAAAACTCGGTAAGCATCTATCAATCGGAATGAATATATTTATGGAGCTCTTTTCATCTATCGACGTTACCTGTCCAGCATCTCCTTATAGTCCAGAAGGTCGTCGATGAACAATGCCCCCAAGTCCGCCACCTCCTCCATCTTAGCGAAGTGACGCCGAGGGAACACCATGCCAGGGTTGGAATTGATGGGTAGCGGCAGACGCACCTTCAGGTACATGTCGTCTAGCCACCAGTCCGTCACCTATGGGATAATATACCCTATGTAGAAAGGCCTAAGGGTGACTAGAAACATAGGATTCTAAGATTATCGTATACAGCTGTGTAAGTTGTTGTGTAGCACAATTGTGTCCAAGTATAGCGTATACCTTCTCTAATGTTATTAGGGAAAACATAAAATAAAACTAGTTTTAGAATGTTAAATAGTTATATTTTATTAACTACATATCACAAAATACAATAAGGCAACACTTCAACTAGCAATATTTATTGATAACTTAGTGCTATATTATTCATATTGGTTATATGGTACAGTGGGACTTAAAAAGAATATAGTTCTCCTGCGTCGTGGTGTCCTGGCTGCCTCAGTGGTAACATGGCCGTTATCTTCTCTCTTCCGGTGGTAGAAGGGAGCAGGGCTGTAGTTGTCACTGGTATCTGGTTCTTCAGGCACGCGGAGTACTCCATTATATGCTGGCCGTCTCGTCATTCTCTGGTAGTCGGCAGCAAACAGACTCTTTCTTGAATGTACTCGGTTTTTCACGAAACTTGACCTCATTGTCGGTCGCCGTACAGACGCCATGTTATTATTTCCTTCCTGCTGAACTTTACGTCTCACCGGCACTTTCTTGTAATATTTCACGTTGTCATTTATAGGCTCCACCACATAATCTTTTGGCTTCAAGTATACTGGTTGACGTCTATGTTCGAATCTTCTCGCTGCTTTGTCTATGTTGGCGAATTTAGGTCGAAGCATGTAACCAGGACCGGATTGTAGAGGTTTATACATCAGCGGCGGAGGTTTCGCCGTAACAAAGCGATGTTGCGAGAAGAAGTCTTGCGTGTTCATCGTCATCACTGCCATCCTCCGGTTGCCCACACTCATCCGCTTTGATTGCGCTCGCTTCATTGGTGTTTTGAGACTTTTGACAGGCAACATTTTTACAGAATACGGATTTTTTTTCTCAAATGGATCTAAAAGTGTTCCAGACGTTGATTTCAACTTTTTCAAATTCTGTGTAATAATGTTCAAATTTGTATTTCTATTGATTTCTATGGACGAATGCCCCTTCCCTGATATCGGCAGGGAGTTCTTTACATTATCAATGCTAACAAACGGCACGTTGGCTGGCGCCGCAGCGTTTCCAGATTTTCTTGTCTCTAAGATCGGCACAGATATAATGTTTGTTTCTAGCATTGGACGAGTTATTACATTACGTCCTCGGTTTCTTATTAACTTTTTATTAATTGCTTTACGGGTATTTTCGTATAATGGATGATTTATAAGTGTGTGTACATGTTTGTTGTTATTAGTAGTTGTTGTTGGTGAATTTATTTTGCTCGAAGCTGCAGGAGCTGGATTTTTATTGTTGTAAATGAAAGTAAATAAATGCTTGTCATTAAATAAAGCCGAGTTTTTGTTGTTGTTCTCAGTCAAAGTGGGTACATTCTGGGAATGGTTAATAATGACTGGTGAGTGCTTATCATTGCTTGTTACACGTGTATTCCAGTTATTGTCAATCATCTTCGGAGTCTTTATTAAAACCGGGTTGCGTTTTTGGCCGATTAATATTTCTGAATTAAGGTTTTTATTAAAAGTGTACTGCGGTTCTCTTGTGTTGTCAATGGATGAAGGGTTAGTATTATTCAGTAGTAACTTATTTTTGTAGTCATCCGTCATTATAAGTGTGTTTTGTGGATTAGCGGCCATTAAAGGTAGTTGGCTGTTACTATTTATAAACATTGTATTTTGTTTGACTTGCTCTCTATTATCTTTAGCCATGGGTGATAAAGTTTTATTGAAGTTCATCATCGGAATACCATTATTCGTCACTGTTGGAGGTAAACCGGGTGAATTTCTATTACCTACAATCACTGATTGAGGGTAAATATTTGTGTTCATCATAGGCAGCAAGTTCCTGTTATTATTGGAAACCAGGGTAGGATTCCAGTTATTTTCAATCATTGTCGGTGAACCTCCTGTGTACGCTGGCTGTACCGGTGAATTAAAGTTATTATTTTCTACGGGAGCAAAGTATTTGTCATTGTCACTGATGGCAGCTGAATTATCAACATTAGCAGACATGTATGGTGGTTCATTTATATCTGAGAAATACTTGTGATCTGATGAAATTATTGATGAAGTTAATCTATTGAGACCGTTTTGTTGCGACTTTTTATTTAGTTCCAAAGTAGATGGAGGCATCATATTGTTTTCACTTAACATTGGTAGCAAGTTTCCAGTATTTTGTGGTGTATTTGGCATTCCTACCAACATAGTGTTTCTGTCTACAGACAGTCTTGGTTTGGAATTTCTATCCAATTCTAAACCAGGTGAATTTCCGTAAAAGTTTTGAGGCTGTGGGACTTGAATCGTCTGCATGGGTTCCATATTTATATTAGGATCATTTGAGTAAGGTATATTCTGATTTATTGGAACTAGATTTGTAGCTAAATTGGTTGCTTGAGGAGAACTTCCTTGGACACTCAGTGGTAATGAATGCCCGTGAATCTCCATTGGCAGGGGATTCCCACTGATCTCAATCATAGCTGGTGAAGCAGCATTTGTACCTATTTGAGGTGAATTTATATTAATTTCAAGGATCGGATGATGATTATCAATTTCTGAAGTTTGTGGAATTTTTATAATTTCTATTGGTTGGCGATTGTTTTCATACATTTCTTCACCTTTATGGTCCGGGTAGCCATCGGTAAGATTGATTTGAAGGGGCTCTGTACAATTAGCTGCTTTCAAAATTTTTATAAATTCATCTTTCGAAGTGAACTTATCGCTGATATTTCTTAATATTGCACAAGAGTTGTTTAACTTGGGCTCTTGTGGTTGGATCTTTCCTGGATTAGTAGGATTGAGTGTGGGTGTCTTGATCACTGGTACTCCGTCTTGGTACTTCAGAAGTTCCAAATCTTCTTTTGTAGTTGGTTGGTAAGTGTTGTATTTTATACTCTTTGTAGTTGGAGTTGAAGTTGTACCTGTCACCTGTTGTCTGTGCACGTGTGAGCTGTATATTTGTATCCTGGTTTCTTTTACAGCTTTTGTTGGTTTAGTATGTATACTTGAACTTAGCCTCTCATTGTTATTTTGGTATCCATTTCTTGCTGTGTCATTCAGATTTGCTTGTTCAGATCTAAATCTTATTTCATCAAATGGTATAGGATAATGTTGTGTATCATAGTGATTTGTGCTGTGTCCTGTGCTATTGTATAGTTTCATATCAGTCTCATTCTCCTTGGGTAAATGCGTTTGATTTAGCGAATTGTTTTCCGAACTATCATGAGCCTTGAAGTTGTAATATTGTGTATTTGATGACATTTTATTGTTAGTTGTTCCGAAAGGACGCAAGTTATTATTGTTACTCTTGACTTGGAATCTTTTCTGCGATATACTATGTGTATAAGGTTTTGTAGTATGTGTATTGGCATTGTCATTATCCAAAAACTTCAAATATTCTTTGTATTGCGGTGTAGTATCACCAGTCATATTGTTTGTCATATTACTGCCGTTAAAGTCGGTCTTACTATTAAGGTCCAAAGAAGTAATGCTCTTTACTGAGGAGTATTTATTTTCAATAGTTCTGTTTAGAACAGTTTGTCTCATGTCTTGGTCTAATATGTAAATCTTTGGAAGTCTAATAGGCTTTTCAGATGTTGCTCTGTAATTATACTGATGACCGTATAAAAGAAGACTTTTTGATGTGGGAACATAAATTACAGGCCTTGGTTGATAGATATTATCATGGAGATCCTTTTTATTAGTTACATACAAATGTTTATCTGCCTGATCTGTAGGTTGGACAGTTATATTTTCTTTCAATGTTGAATATTTTATTGTCGTTTCCTGTCCCTCATCTGTTGCAATTTCTGTATTTGTATTAACATTTATCGTTGAACGTTGATTTTGGTCTAAGTTTATAGTATGTTCACTTGATGTGACCTGTGGTGTGGTCACATCATGTTTTGTTTGCTCGGTAAGGTCAAAACTATCATGGAAGAATTTGTTATATGAGATTTTAGTGGTAGGTAGATGTTCTGCCTGGTTTTTACTTAAAACTTCCGTGTTGCTAGAAACGAAATCTTTATGGATGTTCATGGTTGTGGTCATAAAGTCTTTTTCTATATTTGGTTCATGTATAACATCGTGGACTTTAGGTGAGAGCGTGGTTACCTCTTTACTGTCATAAACAGGAGTTTTACGTTCATTTACTATACCCTCGTCTGTAGTGTATTCTGTCAATTTTATTAAATTATTTGTTAAATTTAATAGAGGCAGAATTACATTTGAGTTATTTGATGTCAAATGACTGTTTGTAACAGTAGCTGACTTGTAGTGGTCTATTTCTTCTTCGATTGAAGATAGATTTGCATCAATTTCTTTCAAAGAACTGGGAGTATTACCTGTGCTTGTTAGTTTCTCCAAACTATTATTTGTCTCTTTGTTATTTTCATTACTTTGTATGAGAGAAGTGGCTGGATATTTTGTAGTGAATGATTCATCAGTTGTATTTACTTCTGTTTCTTCTTTCAATTCTCTTGTACCATCAGTGCCATGTATAACATTCCCGTCTTGAGTCGTAGTGATAGTTGATGTCACCTCTGATGACAAATTTGTGGTGGTTTTGTAATTAATACTATCTGATTGTGACATACTTTTCTCAGTCTTCGTAGTAATCTCTCTTACTTCCTCAATTAAGCTATCTTCAATGCCAATATTCTGTTTATTCTCAGCACCCAAGTTTCTTCTTACGTTAACTGAAATTTCTTTACTGTTTTGATCACTGAGTGTATTGCTATTAGCTGTACTTGTGACCTCTGGTATAGTAACCACTTTTTCCGTATTATGTACATGATCTTCAGTATTCATCATGTCTGTTATATTTATAATGTTACGATCACTGAAACCGCTGCCTAGCGTCGTAAAATTTTCACTATTATTTGTAATGTTCCACATTTTGTTATTAATTTCATCCATATCCTTTTCAAGTAAAATAGTTGTATTATCATATTGTC